GGAGATATATGTAATTCTCGATTGTCACAAGATATAATTCAATGATTTTTCTCCGTGCTGACTTTCCATATATGATCTGACACCCCTCATCCGCTTCATTTTTGTTGTAGTTTGGTTATCTTCACGGGAACGTGTCACTTGCCGGTGGCATAGCAACGCTCAAGAAGTACTACGACCAGTACCATTCATGGGGCACCAATATTCAAACGCCACACATAGATGTGAGTGTGCCTCTGCCTCCCGCCACAATGTATGTGGAGGCCGGAGACCTGTACTATATCACAGTGGTTGCCATGGCAACGGGCTCCAACCAGACTACCGTCATGAAGTACCGTACTGTGTCTGTGGCCGTGCCTGAAGAGTTTGACGCGCTGATCTCAGACCAAATAGTGACGAAGCGTGGACAACTGGCCGATGCCATCAGAGAAGGTGAAACTAGCCTCTGCAGCCGAGCACTCTTATGTGTGGGGTTTGCTGCCTATACGGATGTTGTTTGGCACAGGGCTATAAACTGCATCCCATTCACTTCACACACACACACCACACACAGTCAGTGTAGCGTAGAGATCTGATTGCACGTCTTGCATGTATTGTGTTGGGGACATGTATGCAGCTGATCGTAGTACGCACTTGCATTCTTGTGGCACCGAGTGCTCACTCAGCCTTGGCGATTATATGTATGCGCAAACGTCCCGTTTCTGACCAGTACCACTACTATATTACACCTAATATTGTCAAACACAATACTTGATACTACTACTATATCAGACTCAATACTCACACACTTGTACTTGAACTTATCCTCCAATCACAGCGGACTTCTGGCTGGGCATGAACCTGGCGGACAACCTTCTGCAAACATTCATTCGCCAAAGTACCGAACTTTCGTTCGCGCTACAGCCCACACCCACAACCACCCCGCCTGGGTCAGGCGCTGTAAAACCACCTATACTATCAACCACCGCCACCGGCGACCGTAGGAGGAATGCGCATGGGTCTACCTATGCGTATGTGTATAAGGGCAGCCACGCAAGCGTCCATGACACTGGTCCACAGACCCAATCTCTGGGACAGGGCATCAGAGGTGCCTCCCAACACCCGAACAACAACCCTGCACCCGTTGTAGGGTTTGGTAGTTACACTAACAACGAACCGGTTGTGAGGTACAGGACACACCGCCAACCCCACCGCCGCACCATCACACTGGGCCCAGACGACCCGGAATACATTGACCAGGACACCGCCTGCCTCACCAAAGACGCGCTCAACGAAGTCATCGACAGCTACGCAGCCCTGTTTTATCTCAAGCCCCCCACGATAGGTGCAACCGAGTCCTACATCGCACAGCTGGCCTACATGCTGGAGGGCATGCTCTGCCGCACAGTGCATGTGCGGGTCATCAGGTACATCTTCGCGGCGCTACAGAGCTACGACGAGCTGCGGCAGTCCACAGACGGGCCTTTATCGGCCGAGACACGTGCACAGATACTCAGTGCGTGTGACAGAGTGTTACACGTGCACTTGGGCAGCAGCCCAGCCACCAAGACCATGCGAGAGATACGCCAGAGCATTGTGTTTGCCCTGCGCGATGGGTTGAGGGGGCGCGGGTGCATTGCTGGACAGCCCACCGCCAGCCTGGTCAACGGCACACGAGAGTACTTTGACTATGCCGTGGCGGTGGCTAACCTCAATCAGACGCTTCCGGTGAGTCTAGGGGATGTGCTCTACAACTTCACCGTGCAGGCTGAGTGTGTGGATGCCGTGACGCTGACATGGAAGCGCGTGTCCATTGTCAATGAGACCAGCAGTGCCAATGTCACCAGTGACGACGAGGTAGGGCTACTGTGGAACGGTGGGGTTGCTGTTGTGGTGGATGGTGTCTACTGTGCAGTGTACTGGAGTGCCTCATACGACCTGAATAGGTCCTGAATGGGATGTTAAGTGTGATGGTGTGGTCATAGTGTGACTGTAGTTGACCAATTGTGTTGTCTATATATCCCATGCGTACATATGAGTGTGATGGTGTGGTCATAGTGTGACTGTAGTTGACCAATTGTGCTGTCTATATATCCCATGTGTACATATGAGTGTGATGGTGTGGTCATAGTGTGACTGTAGTAGACCAATTGTGCTGTCTATAAATCCCATGCGTGCATATAAGTGTGATGGTGTGGTCATAGAGTGACTGTAGTTGACCAATTGTGCTGTCTATATGTCCCCGTGCGTACAGGATTGGGAGTCCCGAGTGTTTTATTTTGGGTTCTCTGTGAATTGTGTGCCTTGAGCGTCGTCCTGAGGCATGCCTGTGACACGCGTCTCTGCTGTGTGTATCAATGGTGTGTACCACCCACGTAAACCCTTAAACTCTACAATCCTAAACTTTAAACGCTAAAACCATAAGCCACTCACCCCCACATCATACATTGAACCCCCCCTGCACACGTACACACAGGACACCATCATGATGGATGAATATGACGGCTGGTACAGCACCATCGTAGAGGCCAATCTCTACAACGCCAGCGCACGCACGCTCAATGGAGGCAACAAGTTCCAGCTACTGGAGACGTTATACGACGACGATGACACGACACACTCGTCTGTGTCCGTAGACGATACGTCTGAAGCATCGTCCGTCAATGAGAGGGCTTTAGTCGCCAACGACAGTACGGATGAGGTGGTCCCTGGGGAAGTGACTCAGGTGGTGCAGTACACCATCCAGTACACCCAACTGACCGACAACTACAACACGCCCAGGAGATGCTACTTCTTCCACGCTGAGGACGCTGACCCAAAGTTCCGATACGATAGGACGAAGTGCTGGCAGGTGCTAGATGCCTTAGACCCGTCGCTTGGCAACGGAACCTCGACGGACTCTGCAGGCGATGGAGATCTACAAGACGACGCTAATGACACATCACCATACCCCACAGGCACGGAGACGGGAACACCTGTGGACTCGACAGCTATGAGTACACGCACAGTGGTGTGTGCGTGCGTGCAGCCATACATAGTTACCGTTCGACCGAGACAGGTATTCCTTAACCCACCGGAGGACTCTAGTTCTATGCGCGTGATACTGATCGTAGCGCCAATCCTGGTGTCTCTATTTGTAATAGGACTCGTCGCAGGACTGAGCCGGTGGTACTACTACACCAGGATCAAGCCAAGGCGAGACTTCAGACACCGGTACAAACGCCAGCCCACCTTCAAGGATGGGAACGGGTTCGCTACGTTCCAGTTGGTGAAAGTGCCTGGGTACAGAGAACCCCCCCCATTTAACTACCGCACTGATAGTGTGGAGCTGCTAGCCGAGCACCGAGAAGGCGAACGGAGCAGTCTGCGGAGTCACAGTGCCGGATCAGACATGGGGATGGACATGAACATGTCTTTGCACACCTCGTCAGACAACTGGCACGGGCAAGAGGGATACCGTAACCATGACAACGGACTCTCAAACAGCGCAGATGCTAGTGCTGGGAATACGTTGTCCGAGCACGGCGGCATGCGGCCTATGAGCCTATTCTCACACCACCAAGACCACGAGGGCTCTAATTACGACGATAGTGTAGACGGCTTCGACGACGACGTGAGTATCGAGCGGTTTGATGATGTGGATCTCACCCTGGACAACCATAGCGATGACTACGCACAGCCTGTGGATGTGAAGGGATCACATGAGCACACACAGCACACAGACCAGGCAAGCGAGGCCGGCGACAAGGGTGTTGATGAGAAACCAGTCAATGTGGATGATGAACATGCCGACGGAGGATTGTGATCGCATCATGAGTAGCGCATATGTGGTGATACACAGATACATAGCTACAACGGAAAGGGCTTGTTGTAGATCTTGTAGTTCTATTTCAAATCGGGCACCCGTAAAATTATGTCTACACAAACATAGATTTTTTTCGCCAAGTCAAATGCACTGGGCACTGTTTGCGTGCTATGAAGAGTGCGTGATGCGTTGGCGAGGATGCGAAACTTACAAACGGGTATAGCAAGCGGAAGCATGGAGCTCGCAAATGCTATACAAACACTGTACAACTCCGATATAGTGCACAGGCCTTAATGGCCAAGGAATACCGTTGCAATCGACAACATGCGGCCCAGAGATTGCAAGAGGTGAAATCATTCACCTTTCGCTGATAGAATATATACTAGTGGTGAATTTATTAACATACTACCAGAGTGTGAGGATAGCAATATCTGACCCAGGTACATACACATCGCCACATCGAAATAATGAACTAAACTAGTCAAAGTACACAACGCAAAACTGTCGTTTAACAGTCGAGTTTCAAACGCAATGCCCAAAACAGCTCTCAATCGACCCGACGCTCCTACTGGAGTGCTGTTGGTTTGGTGCAACGGTAACCATCAATCTACAACGCCTTTGCCGATAACAAAGAAAAATAGTCGGAAATAAATAAATATGAGTAATTAAAATACAACTGCACTGATCAAACATACACACTATACAGTAGAAGGTTACATTAACACACTCAGCAACGTGCAATCAGCACACATTTATCTTCGTCAATTTGGGTTGATCAACGCTACTATCTTCGCAGGTTACGTATGCTTGTTGGTCTCCATACTACACACTTAGCAACGTGCAATCAGCACACATTTATCTTCGTCAATTTGGGTTGATCAACGCTACTATCTACGCAGGTTACGTATGCTTATTGGACTCCATACTCATATCCTGCAGTTGACAGTAGCCGTACACAGCGAATGTGCTCGACTTCATAACCCCTCCTCTTTTTTTGTAGGGCTAGCCGCACAATATTATATTTGCAATTTGGAGAGGGAAAATTCTCTCAGAGCTTCTCTCCAGGTCAGTAATCCACTGAAATTTAACACTACAACACGTGGATGCGACGGTTTCATTTTTATTTCCGATGTATTGTTTCTAAATTACCGATCGCTGTCGAGTATCAGGTATCACTGCAATCAGGCTGTTCATATACATCTACTATCTCCGCTTTTCTCTCTCTCTCTCTCGACTAGTAATACAGCTAGTGTAATATACAGCTGATAAATAGTTAGCTACAACGTACACTCAGTTATTTACAGGCTATAGCAGGCCTACAGTCAACGGCCTACGACCCAAGTTATGCATGTTTCTATGTATAAACACATTTTTTTATTAAAAATAAACATCAGTGTCTTGGGCTCAACTATAGTCAGCGTCTCAGCGACCTCAGCCTCATGATGGCACTCATCAGTCATCGGCCATTAGTCATCACTCCCCAAGGGCACAAGTCGCCGGATTGTGGATCTAATACCCACAGTCCGGACTCCGGAGTCCCATCTGACCACCTCCCATCTTCTCAGTTCATCACACACGTCACAATTGGCAATTCACATCACATGTGTCATTGTAGTACATACTAGATGATTGTTCTCTCTCTCTCTCTCTCAGTCTCTTCACTCTTGTTGTTGTGTATTTTTTTTTTAAATCAATAGGACTAAATAAAATAAATGTAGTAGAACCAAACTTTAAATATTCACTCATATTTACATAGCCAGTAATGTCGCTCATCACTGTCGTCTTTATATTTTTTAAAAAGTCATCACTGTCTGCTTTATCTTTTTTTATAAAAACAAAACTAAGTACCATCCGGCGTCGGGCATACATACAGTTACTAAATATTTACATACTGATACCAGGAGCGAGCCGTAAATTCCAAAATAAAATAAATTATGAAAACTGCCCTTTGATCGCTATTGTATTGGGACCAAATTACACCCAAATCGAACCAAGGGTTTGTCATTGACTTTGGTAAAGTTTGCCGACACATTTCAAATCTCGAGATTGATAATGTGACACTCAAACTAAGTATCAAATTTTTAAGACCAGATCATGACCTTATTAGTCGATATTACGTGTGTCATACACAATCAATGGATGGGTGCAGTAAACCTTTATATGTTCGGCTAGGATATTTATATGTGTTTTTCGTCAACCGCTCTTGGCCTTAAGGAGGCTGTGTGTGTGTTGTGAGCATCTCTTCGATACCAACACACATGGGCCTCTTCGATACCAACACACATGGGCCTCTTCGATACCAACACGCATGGGTCTGCTCGTATGATATAGTTGAAAGTAGAAAAATAGAGCATGCATAATACGTATACATGATATTTATGAATCAGGATACGAGAATACAGCAATGTACGCTTGTCACCGCTCGTGTAGTACTGCATAGTATTGCCTGACTTTGAAATTGTGTCCAGATTGCGCTGTGGTCCGAGATCAACGCTTATCAAATAGAGGATGACCGTTGCGAATAGACAGTTGCACGATAATTGCAACGGCCATAAAATATATTGAATGCTTCAACCTGGAGGCGCGGAATGAGATTTTGAGAATATAGAAACTAGTCAGTATTGGATTGATTTTTATGGCCACTTGAGTTTTCTTAAGTACAGGGCGTTCAGAGCTTCATTAAATTCAACAATATTCACATTTAAACAGTTGCGCACGCAACATCTTACAAGCGCACTCGCGCAAGTTAATGGATTCGTATCCAGCTCATACGATCCCTGGTGTATCCTTCATCGAGTTATGTTAGTACTAATTGCAAATTCTACAACCATCGTATACGTGCAATAATGCTGTAAAACCATACAACCGTAAAGATTACTAAGGGTTGCGTGTACACGTATATTGATTTGTTGCTGTGATTATTGATTGCACTAGTTTTAGGACCATGACACGGTGTAGAAATACGGCCTCCGGTCAGTCTAAAATATCAAGATCAATTGAGATAATACATTGGTTTTTATTTGTATTTTAAATAATTTAATACAAGCTCTTTTTCCAATATTTCCAAAGTGTTCTAAATGCACTTCGATGGCTCCAATAGCCTGAGTATTTGGTATGACTCATCTACTTGGACCTGTTTGAGACATTAGTAGATGTAGG